GAAACCAACGCGAATTTTTCGGAATCCGTCAAAAAACTCATATCGTCAGCCACACACGTAGTTGACCATGTGCATAATTTCCCAACTTTTGGAGCCACCTCGGAATAATTCGCCATAGGGTTTACATCCATATCACTCAGCAAGGCAAACGCCGCGGCAACATGGTGATTTTCCAATATCTGTAGTAAACTACACGAACCGTGAATTGCGAATCAGCTCACAGCGCTGTCACTATATCGGATCGCCATAGGGTGCCGAATATTAACAAGGAAAGAGCTGTCAACACCCGGGTACTCGTAGTCGTGAATCTGAGCCTAACATTGTTTTTTCAGCAGGAGAACTATGACTACCGCAGCCGCAATAAGGCCGGCTTGCAGCTCTTGAGCAGAGAAAAAATCAGGACATGTTGTTGCCCTCCCAAGCTGGAGAGACCTAGAATGCTAACTCCGAGAGATTGAGCAAAGTTGCTCACATCAAGAGTGTGAGCATAGCTTGCATAACGTCTACAGTATGCATCACGTTATGGTACGGATTTCTCACAAAGCAACCTTTTTCGATCACACCAAGGAACTCTGCCGTTGCTGCCAGGTCGAGTTTCACTGACACAAGCCCTGGACAGAACTAGCTCTTACAAGGAGGTGGACTCACGACCACGATCAGATGGGACGAAGAGTTGACCTTTCAGAGATTCTTCGGACTGCCCGGCCTGATGTGGCTCGATCTGGCCGTATTCAGGCCCGAAGGCAGATACCACAGATAAGAAGTACATCCCCGAAAATGATAGCACTGGAAGCCTCGGCAGGTCACTGAGCGAGCGACAAACATTGACGCGATAAATGTTCGCTCTCCTCAACCGGGCTCGAGAGTTTCCTCGCCTTATAGGAGTTTATATACATCAAGCCATCAAGATTCTCCCAAGATTTCCTCAAATTTTCAATATCATCACCGACATACCTACTTGACCCTGTGCATATTTTCCCACACTGGCCACATCTAGCTATCACTACGCCCTAACCCACTCCTAATCTACTATACTAAGAGTACAACAGTTAAAACGTGTCACCACGTGTCACCACGTGTCACCACGTGTCACCACAGTAGTTACTCACTGATCATCATAGACACCGAGTGCAGCTTGAGAATTGTAGCTTCTATACAGAGTGCCATTGAAAACGTCCTCCCCAAGTGAGGTCAACCTCACTGTTAAAGCAAACTGACCACCGGCTCCACGAGTAGCTGCACGCCGCACTCTGTTGAATTACTATATACCAAAAAAGAGCAAACAGTAACCAAACCTTGGTTGCAAAAAGGCAAAGACTCCTTTTCTTTGCTTCTGCACTGGACTGGACAAGGCGAGCACCTCCGCAGGGTTCTTCGACATCGGGTCAATCTCCGGTGCGTAGGCCGCATCGGAAGCTCCCGGATCAGGAAGGCTCTCTGGGTGCCCGAGGAGGAACTGATAACACCACAAGTTACTTATACTAACTGCGACTAACCTGCAGAAACATAGTACACTTGCACAGTCTCAATCTCACACAGCACGATAAGGCAAATGTCAATACATGCAAATCACCTCCTTACCCGTAAAGTGAAGACATTGAAACCCCACGATGTCGCCGAGCGCGATAAATAGGCGACCACCCGTGAAGTGGCAGGGTCCATATCAAGCCTCTGTATGCTAGTCATATCAGTGAGTTCGCTATTTATCGCCACACCATCAAGAATGTTCTTCAACAGTTCCCTTGTCCTCGTACTGGGAGGCACCTGAGTCAGATCAGCATCATCCAATGCTCAATGGTGGTCCAATGGAGTTTCACCCGTTTTACGTGAAGTGGCGTCGTAAAACTCGGTGAAAAGCGCGATATTCGCGGCCTGTGGTAGTCGTGAAATCTATTTTTCACTACTGTTTTTCATATCACTAGGGTGGTGAAACTCCAAAATACTATAGTTCGTGAATCTATCTCAACAAGGGCGTTCCAAGTGTGTTCTTTCTGCCATGGTCAACACTCTTTCACCTTAGTCGTATCGTCTTCGACTGCAGCATTGTCCGTTGCTTTTCTTTTAGCAAGGAATTTCTCCAACTCGTTATCCCGCCAGGTTTTGGTACTTGTCTTGGCACTAGCACTGAGGGAACGCATTCAGGATGATACCGAACTCCTTATGCCTCCTGGTGACACTGTGACACAGTACCAGAATATATGTTCGCATTCCTCAGTGGATCTCAGAGTTTCCTCACTAATTATATGAGCTTGCCCGCGAATTCGTCCAGAAACGTACAAAACCAATATAAATTTTCCAGATTTTTCCCAGGATTTTCAAAACACGAATTTTCTATTTTCTCATACCTCCCCAGAGTCA